TCGTCGACTAGCTTTGAAGGCCAGTAGGGCTTCGATGTCCGTGAAGTTATTGTGAGGGCTTGATTTTGCTAGGTGGGGGATAAGAAGAAATGGCCAAAAAGAAGCACAATGAAGAGAAATGGAGGAAGATCCATGGAGAATTAGTGCATGCTGAACTACTTTAAATAACCCAAAAATATGATGCATGCATCAGCAATTAAACTTCTGTTGTGTAGATGAGTGCCTAAAATATACTTCATAATTACCTCGTCTGACATAAGAGCATCTTTTAGTGACATCCTTCTACTGTTATTGTCGGACTTCCGATGTCCATTAGAACCACCCTGTGTAAAAGGCGGTGTCATTTAATAGATTGGATGATAATTTACAAGAAAAAAGGTCTAAATTTGTTAAATAGAAGAATGATCAAGGATATTACACTCTGGGGTTCTGCAGATTCTTCGACAGCCACATTACTGCTTGGTTCTTTAGCATACTTCGGACCTTGATGCCTACTGTACTAATCTAATATGCGTGCATATGACTCCAACTGTTTCAGTCCAACCAGAGTGTTGCAAACATAATCAAAACTTACAGCTCATCCAACTATTTTATTATCGTATCAGTGACTACAAACATAATGTCGAAGCGTGGTTCATTCTAAAGTATATGAACCTAAAGTTATCTGTTCACTTGCTTCCTTTTCTAAATCTAAAGTTATCTGTTCACTTTTATTGGATTGTTCTGCAAATTGATGATGAGGGGATAAAGTGTCACATATGTTGTTCTTTGTGTTTTTTTGGTAATTACAAACCAAACGTTTGATCCCTCTACTTCAATTTCTAAGACATTATTGTTATATTGAAAGGAGTTGATGCATACAAAATATCATGGGGCGAATTCAAGAAAATTTTCTATAAGACGTATTTTCCCTCAACCATCCATACGCAGAAGGAACAAGAGTTTTGAAGATTGGAGCAAGGTGATAAAGCAGTAACCAAATATGAGGAGTTTACTTATCAAAGTTTGCCTCTCACTTATTGGTTAATGATGAGGATAAAGTTTGTTGATTCGAGGAAGGGCTTCTAACAGATATCAAGGAGATAATAAGTGTTATGTGGGACTAAGCGCTAAATCGTGTGAATGTGATGGGAACCACCAGCCACCTCTAAAATCCACATCGCCTGATGGTGATACTAAGACAAATTGTTGTTATGTCACAATGAGGACATCGCATATATAAGATAGGGTGACAGTAATACAACGAGGACATCGCATGTATTTCCTATCTTTCTATCTCAAAATACCTTTCATCAAGTTCTACAATTATTAGTGTTACTTCTATAATAATGGATGATAGCAAAGAAAATGAGAAGTCATGTCTTCACTTGTAGCTCACCAAGGAACGCACTATACAGACAGTGAAGTTAAAAAGGGCATTAAAAGAATGTATGAGAACTTTATTCTCTGACTGAACATGAAGATAATAAGGGCACAGTTTAAATCAGTGGCACTAACAATATCCTCAATTTGCAGCACAATCCAATAAAAGTGAACAGATAACGTTTGGTTTGTAATTACCAAACTCCTTTCACTTCTTTCTTTCTCTAAAAAGTTGGTCTAAAAAAAGCTCTAGAAGCAAAACCGCAGAGAAACCAAATGCACTCGTACTACCAATTCCTATGAAGTCCACATCAAAGAATGAACTAGACGCGCCAATATGAGTAAAAATTAGGGTTTAAGTCAAAACATCAAGTGAAGCCAACAGAAGCAATTCGTTATACCTTCAGGATCTAGGGTTTGGAGAAGGGGATCAATATCTTTGGGCAGCGAAGAGAAGGCAGGAGCGATCTTCGATCGCACGGCACTCAGTCGCTTCCTCCAATCGTGAGGTATCTTCTTGCGATCCACCAGCCATTCTTCAGCAAGATTTTAATCAATTCCCAACCAAAAAAAAACTCATTTCCAAATAAAGTTGAAGGAAATTAAGAAAAATTAAGAAAATTACCACGAGCCGATCGAAAAGTTTGGGGGAAGCAAAGATTAAAGCAAAAATCGTGAGCAAAACATCGAGTAATTCCTCGGATGAAGCTCGAGCCCTAGTTTCAGTACGTCGAGATGTGAAGAGGGTCGAGTAGTCTTCGCGCTCGGCCTTTGTGAGGGCGAGGAGATCGTCGGCGATCCGGTTGAGCTTCTGGTCTCGGGATTCGACGGCGGCGGTGCCGCCAAAGGCGGTGGAGAGGAGGCAGAGGAGGGGGTGGCGAGGGATTTTGGTGGTGAGGAAAATGAACAAAAATGAGGGGGCTTTTTTGACGGAGAGGAAAAAACGAAAAAAAGAGGGGGAGGAAATTAAAAGTACGCGGGGAAATGAAAAAACGAGGGGGCTTTTTTGGGGACGCACTTGAATAGTAAAGCGTCGGCAAAAGTTACTTTTTTACGACAAAAAGTTTTGCGCGTCGCTAAAAGTAACACTTTTGCCGACGCAATATAGTGTTGGCAAAAGTGTTATTTTTAGTGACGTAAAATTGTTCGTCGCTAAAAGCTACACTTTTGCCGACGCTAACATGCGTCGTCAAATGTATACTTTTTGCGACGAATATTTGTGCATCGCTAAAAGCTATACTTTTGCCGACGAAAATGAAAAAACGTCGGGAAATCCATACACTTTTACCGATGCTAAGTTAAAACGTCGCAAATAATATACACTTTTAGCGACGCTAATTATAAACGTGGGGGAAAATATATGTTTTGCCGACGCTAACTAAAATCGTCGGGAAAAACATACTTTTTGGCGACGTATTTAACCATGCGTCAGGAATAAGCGTCGGGAAAAGTGTAATTTGTTGTAGTGATATTGGTTTGAAAAATCACATAAACCTAAGAGTCAAACCAGCCCATGACAATACATTACTTCATTGATTAAAGAACCTAACTGCTCTCGCATTGAAGAGAAAACTTGTAATTGATCCATACTTGGACAGTTGGTAAAAAATGCTAGATTATACAACTGATGTGACCTAATGAACAACTTCCAGTTTAACATATTAATTTGGAACATCAGCCAAAGATAAAGATACCAATATTTCACAATCAAGTCAACGATGCTACATTAGTAATTGGAAAAAAAAATACTCAAATCATAGTAAGAATATCCCAAATTAAGTGGTTGCTAGAACATTTACAATGATTAATTTTTCATAAGCTACTCAGAAACAAAAATAGATAAGGAGTCATTCATGTAATTTCCCGATTTCAAGGCCTCTCCCAAACCTTTTTTAAATTTATCGACGAGGTCGGCATTTGAGTACCAAAGCTGACGTCTTTACAATCAAAACTCCAATCTTCTCCATCAAGTTACTTACGACTAATATTAGCAACATCCACAGACAAGCACATATATTTTGAGTCTCAGAAGTCACTAAGAACCTAACAGAGCTAAAAATTCTACTTTTCTCAAAAAAAAATACGAAGAAAGCTCACACATTTACCATCGAACTACTATCAGCAATACCCACAAACAAACACATTGTGATTTGATTCCAGAATCCACGCATTGCAACTAAAAAACACAAAATTTAGGGTTAGGGTTAGGGTTTGGTACCTCTCGAGGCGGCGGCTGAGAGAAGGAGAAATTGACCTTGGACTGGATCGCGAGCCTGACGTCATCGGGATCGATGGCGGGTTTTCCCACGTGATCGGAGTAGCCTTGGGCATCGGTGAGGACGTCGACAACGTAGCGGTAGCAGAGCTCGCGGAACTGGTGGACGACACTTGGCTCGTTACTCGTACTCGTCTTCGCCTATGCCCATCGAGATCTCCCATCTAACAGTAGTCATGACCAACGTATTCTTTTAATAAACGAGACCAATGTAGCCTGTGTAAGGGCTTATCGTCATCCATCCCATAAAAAGAATGTGATTGAAGGAATTGTAGAAAATGACATCGAATTGTTCAAAGTGTTGAAAAATGTGAAAATTCAGCAGGTCACGGGTGTGACAGAATCTGCCATGTTATCAGGAGTGTGGTGCGTGTCACACCCGGGTGTGGCAGAATCTACCATGTTGTCAGGGGTGTGGTGCGTGTCACACCCGGGTGTGACATACGCGTTTTCAGATTCTCATTCTGTTTTTGGATTGTGTTTTGTTATAAATAGAAAAACGTTTTTTAGGGTTTCTTGACCGGAGAATTAGCATTGTTTTGAGCACTTTGAGAGGGAGATATTGTGAGGGAGTTGAGATATTTGGTTATGGTTATATTTGAAAGTTTGTGTGAGTTATAACCAGTTGTAGTTCTCATCCATATAGTGAAATCTCTCCATCATCTCTCCGTGGACGTAGGAAATTTGCCGAACCACGTAAATCTCTATGTTTGTATGATTTTGACCGTTGATTTGGTGGATTGCACTCATGTTTGTTTGGTTTTTCTCTTATTGTTCGCTAACTCGTTTGGTTTGCGAGCACGCTTCCGCACGGCGCGCAACAAGAATAACATGAGGGACGCTTGAACCCAGAATCATACATCCTAGCACTAGCCCTTTAGCTACCTCTGTCGTCATGGTGCTAAAATCCGATGAGAATTGGCGCATGTGTGTAGACTACCGTGTGCTCAATGACAACATGGAGAAGAATAAGTTTCTGATACCCTTAGTCAATGAACTCCTTGATGAGTTGCATGGTCCCACAAGCTTCTTGAAGCATGATTTAAGATAAGGTGATCATCAAATAAGGCTGGCTGAGGAAGATATGTTCAAGGCAATATTTCACACACATTAAGGACACTACGAGTTCCTTGTCATGCCTTTTAGGCTAGCTAATGCACCTTCAACTTTTTAGGAACCTTAATCATGCCTTTCGAGCTAGCTAATTGACGCAACGCGGAAGTGATAACCTCGTAATCCACCAAGAGGTGTTTTCTGAATCCACAGAGAACGATGTCTGAATCCACGAAGAACTTTGAATCCACCAAGAAAATATTAAAAGAGAAATTTTATTGATAAAAAGTTATGCAATTCATTGAGGTTACATAACTATTCTTAAATAGAAATCAAAATAGACTTCTAATAAAACTAGAATTACAAAAAATAGAAAGTATCAAAATCTATCCTAAAAGACTCCCTATAATAAAGGAAATAAATCATGAATCAAAATTAAGCTTTGTTTGCTAATCTAATTTGACCCTAGTATTGAATTTATTTACTAATTTAAATAGACTCTAACTTTATTACTAAAAATAAATTAAAAGCTGGTTATTTTTAGATTTCAGGCAAAACTAGGTATTACTGATGAGATTTTAAAAATCTTATGAGATTATAAGGTGATGTGATTGTGATACCCCATACTTTAGTCCTACATGGACTAGTGTGAAGAAAACTTTATGATTTAAATAGAAAAAAGTCAAGACTCAAAGGTAACTAAGTGCTAGCATTTTGGCAAGTAGATGTTAGCCAACATCGAGGTGCTCTTTGTGGGTCTCACGGCTTTTTTTTTTTAGTGAGGGGGGAGAGGGGGCGGCAGGAGGAATAAGGATAGAGTTTTTTATTGTGGGACCCACCATCCTAACAGAATTCCGGTCTAGGTTGCTTCCTAAACAAAAATTCTGTCTAGGATGGTGGGCCCTTCTTTTTTAAAAAATAAAATAAGTGAGGGGGGAGAGGGGGCGGCAGGAGGAATAAGGATAGAGTTTTTTATTGTGGGACCCACCATCCTAACAGAATTCCGGTCTAGGTTGCTTCCTAAACAAAAATTCTGTCTAGGATGGTGGGCCCTTCTTTTTTAAAAAATAAAATAAAAAAATGTGTCGTCTAGTTTGGCAATCTAGACGGAGTTTTTCGTCTAGAGTGTCTCAAACTAGACGGAATTTTTTATCTAGTTTGCATCAAACTAGACGGAAAAAATTTCCGTCTAGTTTGATCCATCTACTTTGCTTATTTTTCCACTAGTGTATGTTGCACTTTGCTTTGTAGCATCAATAATGAATTCATTTTAATCCTCCAACTACAACGGAAAATAGAAGCGCCAAGAAACTTTTTTGTTAGTAAAAAACCAAATAAGTAGACACGTATATTTTGTAAAACATATCCGTTTGTTGAACATAGTCATAAGGTAATATTGCTGGTTAGATCTAAGCATAAAGCATGTTTCGAGATACCATAAAGCATGTTTCGAGTTATTTGTTTTCTTTGTTTTTGATAATGACGGCTATTAAGTGGGTGAGATAAATAATTAGAGATGAAAAATCTTCATAAGTATAAAGGAAAGCGGAAGGATAAGATTGTCTTTTATAATCTAATCCCAAGTGAAAAAAGTAGTCCCAAGACTATAAGGTACCGTTTGACAAAGGGTTAAGTGAGGGGTTAAGGAGACTTAACCCCTTCTTAACCTGTCAAACACAACAAATCTATATAAGGGTTAAAGTGAGTTAACCCTCCATAATTTGCCAAACATAAAAAATATAGAAGAGTTAAGTTAACCCCTCTAGAGGGGTTAAAATGAGTTAACCCCTCAAAATGAGGGGTTTACTAATACTCCTATTTAGATGGAATAAGAGTTAACCCTTCTAATTATAAAGAAAATAGTCAAAATCATTGTTATTCCCAAACACTAAAACTGATCATAAGGGCTAAAATAAAACTTATTTAACGGGTTAATAATTTAGTCCTTCGGATTATCAAATGGGCTAAGTACATTAATCCTTCTTTTTAACCCCTCTTCATTAACCCTTTGCCAAACGGGACCTATAATTATAAAGAAAATAGTCAAAATCATTGTTATTCCCAAACACTAAAACTGGTCATAAGGGCTAAAATAAAACTTATTTAACGGGTTAATAATTTAGTCCTTCGGATTATCAAATGAGCTAAGTATATTAATCATTCTCTTTAACCCTTCTTCATTAACCCTTTGCCAAACGGGGATAGTCCTACCTAATAACCCCTAAAAATATTAACCAAACACTTAAATATTTTATTTTAAAGGATAAAGAGTTATTACTTCAAAGTAATACGCAATCTGAACATACGATGAAGGCTTAAAGGACCTTTTTAAAAGAAAATAACAGTAAGGAACCGACTAATTATGCAGAAAAACCCAAAATTTCCCGAAATAGCATGAAAAATTAAAGATTAAGGAATAACAGGATTCGACGTGATGGGTTATAACTGCACGTAGAGTCTGGAGTTCCGTAAAACGGCTACGGAGATGATAAGATCAAGTGCGTGAATCTCAAAGCACACGCGTCCGTTCAAGCAACGATTCTAGCTTCACGCTCGGGGAACAGCGGCGCTGCTTTACCCGACCCGAAACTAAACAATACTCCGAACTGGACTCTTCTTGTCGGCCGCAGACAAACATTTCAGCTGGGACCCACGATTTGTCGTTTCTCCACTAGCGAGTGCAGATACGGGTTCGGAGATATTAAGTCGCTTTTGGATTTTGCGTTTTATCCGGATGTAAATCCTATTTTTGTACGTTCCGTGAATTGACGCCAGTTATCCTCTTACTCCCGAAAACGACCGACCAATAAGACGATGAGAGTAAATTACTAAATTACCCTTATTTAGACGGTTGAGAGTACCTCGCAAGATACCGTATGAATCTTCCACCTTTGAATGTTAATAAACGCTTAAATTTAAATCTCTAATCTCTAATCTCTAATTAACATAAATCAACAAAAGCAAGTGTCGTTATCGGAGTGCGAATCTTATTACAACGTATTTACTGGCATTTCTAAGCCTAACAAAAAGGGTAGAAGGACCTATTAATTTGGATACTAAATTTCAGTTTAGCTCATGTTGTCTCACATCTTGAAAGTACTCTGATAAAATTCGTATCCTAATTATTTAAAAACTTTAGGCATAATTTTACGATTTTTTACCAACATAATTATCTTTGTTCAAAATTCAATTATTTGTCAAGGAACATTGAAAATCCATGTGCTCGCTGGTATTGATTTGAGAATAAAGAAAAATCAACTTCTTTATGATTATTATTGTTAAGATTGAGATTACTAGCGTGTATATATACAACTTATGGACTGTTAATATACGTATAATTGCAAGTGGGTTGGGAGTTGTAGGATATGAGTATAAGTTGTTGGGAGTTGTAAGATATGAATGAGTTATATCTAACAACCCATTTATTCAGATTATTTATTATCGTACCCATTTGATTGAAAAGAGCTTTGCTACAGGGACCCAAATTATGAGACCAATAAAGAGGATAAGTGAGGTGTCCCCCTCCTATTGGATAATGAGTTGGCCATCATTAATGATGACCAACTCATTATCCAATAGGAGGGTGACACCTCACTTGTCCCCCCTATTGGTCCCATATTTTGGGTCCTTAAAGAATTTTTCGATTGAAAAATGAGAACGAGCATAATGGGCTGTTTGGTTCCTTTTTTTTGGGTGGTAAAAGTGGGGAAAACTGTCAAAAATGTCAGCTTTCCCCCAAAATCACCCCTTAAAAAGGTGATTTTGGGGGAAAGCTGCCAAAAAGCTGACATTTTTGGCAGCTTTCTCCTCTTTTACCACCAAAAAAACCCTATCCAAACAGCCCCTAAATTACAGAATGATGAAATTGTTAGAGTTGACGGAACACATTAATGAATAATTATGATTAAATGAATGGGATCATTGAGGGAATCCAGATAGAATCATCTAATACTATTTAGGACGAATGATAAACGCACCAACTCACATCCCCATCATACAATAATTGCCCCTAATTTAAATGGTTTTGTTCGTATTAGCCCCTTACATCATTCATATTTCGAATTAATTCCCCAACTCATTTTGAAATTGAAATCTTATCCCTCAAATATTAGTTTTATTTTGAATTAGTCCCTCAAATCATTGAAATTGCTATTAGGTCTCTCAAATTTGAAGTTGTTTCAAATTAGTCCCTCCGATCAAGAGTAAATAGCAATCGGATGGATTAACTTGGAATGCCTTATGAGAATTTGAGATCATGATATTGATTTCAATGATTTGGGGAACTAATTTTCCTCTGTTTGCTACTTCATCAATGATTGATGTGACGGACTAATTTCAAAATAATCTAAGGATTGTGGGACCTAATAGAAATTTCAATGATTTGAGGGACTAAGTCGAGATAATCTAAGGTTTGAGGGACCTTGCAGTAATTTCAATGATCCGAGGGTGAAAATATGAATGATGGAGAAAAAACCGATTTAAAAAAACAAATAAAAGTCCTCCAGGGGCAAATTAGTAATTGCCCCTTCACCCCTCAGTCAGGTCTTCTTACTTCTTCGCTTACCCCTCCGCGTCTTCCCCCAGAAGATATGTGCAGTTTCATCATCGCCCCTTCTTATTTTTTACTTCTCCTTCCTCTTGAAAATAGACCCAAAAATAAGAGAAATAGAGAAGAGAGATGTTCCATTCACAGTCTCTGCTGTCAAGAAAAGGGCCATTAGGGAACATTTGGATAGCAGCCTACTGTCTTAAAAAGCTCAAGAGGCAACAAATTGATGACACTGACATCATCTCTTCTATTGGTATGATTCCTCATCTGGGTTTTTGTTATTTTTGGATTGTTCCATTGTTTTTTCCACTCAAATTTGTTCGGGTTTTTTTTTTCTCCCTAGAAGAAATGGTGATGTGTATGTTAATGGGTTTTATGCATACTGTAAAGGGTTCTCCTCCAAAATATACTGCTACACTACAATGTGCGCTATGATGGGTTTACTTTGAAGAAATGGTGATGTGTCTGTTGATGGTTTTATTTACTAATGGGTTCTCTCCATCACTTAGTATTATACTGCGATGTCCATTGTAATTGGTTTTACTTGGAAAAAATAGTGAGTATTGATCATTTGAGATGGTTCGCTCATGCGCAACGCAGTCCATTAAATGTACCAATTAGGATAATGGCAAAGGAAGTTAGGACAAAAGATAGGCCTAGGAGCAGTTAAGAAATGATATACCTTAGGGGAGAAGATATGATCTACTAAAGAGAATTGAATGTTATAAAGGGTTCCCTTCAAACTTTTTTAGGATTCTTTGTATGGCTAGTTCTTTGTTAAGCCTTGGATATGAGTGGTTTCCTAAATACTGAGGATTTTGTTTTTGGGCCCAATTATAATGTGTGTAACAATGTACGCTGTAGTGTAATCGTAAAATGTAGGTTGTCCTGTGAATAGTTTGTGTATAGAAATGGTGCTATTTTTGTTATATTTGAAAAGTATTATTAACTTTCTATATTCTGGTGTCAAAGTGAAGTATTCGTAAATGATAAACACCCTATTTAGTGAGCATTTGGAAGGGTTCTAACACCAATCGTTGGGACTCTGTTTGAGTTGAAAGCCCCTGTACGACGAACAAGGAAAGGACACAATCACACAAGCAAAAAAGATACATGGTTTGGCAATTGACCTACCCCATGGGAGGAGGAGAGGTGTTTTTACTCCTTGAAGAAAGTTATTACAATATTCTTATACTTGGAGATCCCTTGAAAGAGTAGTTTCTCAATTGCTTGAGTTTATAACTTGTTTTTTCTAGTCAAGTCAATTTTTGATCCAAGTTAATGCAAGCTATAATCAACACAATCACCACCTTGGCTTGTACTCGAACAATCCAAAATCTTCATGCCTTACATATGCTTGATTGTTTCACGCCATTTGCTCTATCTTTATAGTCTCCACCTCTGGCTAGGTTCTGCTCTCAAGTCTCAATGTTTTGAGTATCTGAATGAAGTTCAAGGATGACTTCATGACCTTTTCCTGAGACCAAGTACCTCTCAATCTTGAGATGTGAATGAAGTTTACAGATGCCTTTGTGATCTCCACATGAGGTCGTGTATGACTCTCAATACTTGATTACCCGAGGAAAGTTCAAGGATATGTTCAATCTCTACCTGAGGCTATATACCATTCTTAGTATTTGAGCACGTTAGCCACCTACCGCTCAGTTTCATAAAATTTTATGTAGGAATTTGCGTCGTCAATATGCTGTAGGATTTTTCTTGCTACTGAAACATGAGGAAATCCTCTTTCTGTTTGAATTTGCTATGTTTGTCGTAACCAAAAGCTTCTTTTACTGTTGAATTTCTCCACCTCAAACTTTATTGCCTCTTTTTTTTGCACACCTTGATAGCCCTCGACCTCCTTTCGAGTAATTGTTAATAACCTTGGGATGCTCAATAGGATACTAGAACCGGCAATTGTCACCTCTGATAAAAATTATTGGGTTTAGAAGAGTTTTAGCATCACTTGTTGGGTTTTGGTCAGAGTATCCAAAACCTCTTCATGGCGAACAAAGAAAGCAAACAATCACGAAATAAAAAAAGGATTTAATCTGTTTTGTAGTTGGGCTATGTCCACCAGAGGGAATGGGGGAGTTTTTGTCACTTGAAGAAGTTGATTACAATTTCTCTTCTCTTGGAGATCTCTTACAAGAGTAATTCCTGAATTGCTTGTTTGTTCTTTGAATTTCTCCCTCTTTTTCTTATTCATATTCTTGATTATTACAAAGATTCATACTAAGGAAACTTTTTCCTCCTAGTTTGAGTATTTTTTAGGATTCCTTGATTTTTTTAACTGCCTTTAATTGAATTATTTCAATCCTAGTTCTCTTTCAATAGGAATGGGTTCGATTCCATTTCTAACTTACTTTTTCAGTTAATGTTGGTATTTAGTTCAGGTCAAGTAGCACTTCGATTCCAATTGTTTGATGCAAGATGTAATAAACCCTCACTTGCTCATAGGTGGAGAATACAGGAGAAAACTAACAGTTTGTGTGCATATCTGTGTAATTTTATCCTTGTGGACAGGTTTATATTTGTCTCCATCTGATTCCAACTTGCATACATGTGCTAGCCCAGCAGGACATTCTGATATATCCAAGTTTTTAAGATTAAGATGATCAGTTTCTATAACTTGTTAGGATTATTATTAGGATTGTTATAATGATAAAGTGGGTTTAGCGGTCTCATTAAAATAGTGACTCATGTCAATTTGTGCGGCAATATTCTTATCGTCCTTTCTAGTAGCCACATCGTTTGTCCTCCTTATTTTATGATAATGCTTTTTTCTTCTTTTTGTTATCAACCCATGCAGACAAGATCATTCCTGAAATTCAGATTTCATATCGGGTTCTAGCTCAACTTCTTCTGGGTGTTGTTAGAATATTTTCGAAGAAAGTCGACTATCTCTACCACGATTGTAATGAGGCTATCACTAACATAAGAAGATCATTCATTACTATACATATTACCGCACAAAATAAATCAAATCATGGACGAAGACACGCTGCAAACAGGAAAGAAAATAAAGAACCTCAACATGATCTACCACTAGCTAGTGAAGTAACTCATTCACGAGAACATAATATTTCTGCTCCAAAGAATGGAGCACACGAGGTGCAAATGGAAGCAATCTGTGCGCCATATCATGATGCTACTATTACTCTACCAGAGTGTTTTGAACTCGATGCTTTCAATCTGGATGCTGCAGATAAGGGGTAAGAATATTGAGACTCAAAATCTTATAATTAGAATATGATTTATCTTTTGATATTATTGATTTAATGGTCTTTACCTAAAATTTTGGCAGAGAAACTGTGAAACCTCATGAAAAGCCGGCCATATCTGAAGGTACAATTTTGATTTAACACTTTAAATTGTTTTCTATACTTTCTACGAGTATTTACATGCAGTAATGCTTTTATCTTAAAGTGGCACTTTATTATTGTCCTAGTTATGATTGTCTAACATTCTCTGTTCAATCTAAGATTCTTGTGACTGAATTTGTTCATATAACAGATGAATGGACAAACGACAAGAATAATCAGCATTCCTTTCTGCATGAGGTAGATATCTAGGTGGCAATTTTGCATAGTTTTATGCTTCTTTGAGCTTAGCTGTCTCTTTGCCTAGAAACTATAGCTGTTATTTAATGCTCGACTGCAGTGTAATCGTAGGGAAGTGGATATTCATGCTGAGTTTAATTCAGCTTGTTTCTCCCCAGTTGATGAGTAAGTTGATGGAAGAAGCACCTCCGCTTCCTTTCTTCCTTGTTACTTGTATTAAATGATAGAAATATTTGATGACAGTGTTATTCAATCTAATATGATGGACCTCGAGTTCGCTGAAGTTTGCAATTCAAGAAATGAAGAAGTGAGAGGGATGGTGGCAGAATCTGAGATAAATGGAGGTTTAAAGGCCTGCTCTACTGATGGCTCTCATTTACACGATAATCACCAAGAACGCCAGGTACATTCTCCTAATCTTCAAGGTAAGATGCATGTTCAGAAAGAGGTGCAGTTTGATGAGCCAGAAGATCGATGCAGACCAGTTAGTGATACAACACTATCAAATAAAGGAGAACCTCGTGACCCTACTGAGGGGAATTCAGCGGTTAGAAATTTGAATACATCTCCACTTGTTTCAGGTGAATTTCTAAAATTTCAAAAAATGTCGATTTTTTTAATCTAGAAGCATCTACAGTAGAAAGAATTTAACAATATGCGGTCATGGTTCAGGTCTACCTTCACCTCAGTTTGCAGTTACCACTCCAGCTAGAAAGGAAACTCGCCGGATGTATAGGAAAAGGAAGATTCTCTATGATGAGACTATTGTGTTGTCTAATGGGTAAGTGTAATATTTTATTGGTAGCGTTTCGTTTGAAATGTTTAGCAATAGAATTCTTGTTACTTATCTTTTCAGTCTCCATGCATTTGTTTACACATAACAAACATTTATTGGTCAGTCTGAATCAAAACATGGAACAGAATTGTATAAACTTGGCTCATATTCTAGAAGTTGGACGACAGAAATAAGGATTATCCTCAACAATGTTGACCCAAATGGATGATGCACCAAGTGCTTTTGTATGTGTTAACAATTGCAAGTATTTTTGCATTCTCTGTTGTTTTTCATAATTTCATCTTGTACATATGGGAAGGAACCTCGAGCCATGAAGCAGAAACTGCTGCTTTGACTAAAAGAATATGGAACTGGAGGCGGAAATTCAATAATTTTAACTTGGGGTGAGTCCAACCCCAAGCCCACTAACCCAACTTGCTCAGTGGTTAAAATTGGGTTGACCTTCCATTTTGGTTTGATTGGGACTGAAAAAAGCCAATCTGACTTGTGTAGTTCGGTTTAGAGTATGACCCATAACCTAACCCGCACCTAGAATGCTGAGACCCACCCCAAACCTGCTTAAACCTGAGAACCAATGGAGTGGCTACAATGTGGGTAACTGTAGACAAACACGTACCCTCACACACACGGGATTACACTGTATTATCCATTGAGCCTTACACCTATTTGTGATAAAAATGATGAACATCCATATATGATAATCTAAACCATTCATTGTGATCTTCATATTTATAACTCTATGATTGAAAATTATATGGATTGAAATCTTGTAATCAATGTAACTTATTAAAATTAATAGCCTTTAGCAGTTTTAAAAGCCAATTCGTATGTCCATGATTGTTAAAAGCGGGGTTTGAAGACAGAGCATAATGAAAAAATAGAAAAACTAACCATCTTAGCTTATTTTACGGTTAAACTAACAGATTTAAACTAGAGGGACTAATTTAGGGTGACCAATGAGTTTTCGAGTACTTATTTATAATATCAAGTTTTGGGGGATTTACACCAAAGTAGATAAAATCTGGGGACCAGTATCTCCAAAACCCTATAAAGAATTGTTAGGTCCAAGCATTTTTTTAGATGCATCGCTGGTTGAAGACTTTATATACATGACATTATGTTGCACAAAAAAAAGACGGAAGACAAGATTTTGTGGTTTAATTCAGAACCCTGATTCTACTTTATGGTTTATAGGCTTCTGGTATTCATTGTATGTATGTGTGTTCATAGAAGTTGGCTCCGCATGATCATGTCATTAAATTTAACACTTCCAGGACTATGAGGATGTGGATACAAGATGCAAGTGACTTAGTAGGCAAAAGAAGGAAAGTACCACTTACATCTCTGGATGCTTGGAGAGCCTACAGGATCACTTATCTGCATCAAAATTTTACTGATCCTGTAATTCCTTGTAAGTTCATATCTCCTCCATGACTCCATCCACTTCCATGACCATTTAAGTTTCTCTATTAAGTGTTCAGTTTTCTTGCAGATATCTCTTCTGAAGACAATGATATCCTCCGAAAGAAATTGTCTGATTATCTGACACAGAAGAAAACAACAGTGTCCTCCATTGATGAGAGCAATTTACAACATGAAATATCCGATAAATCTATGGACCCACATGATTTACAACAAGAAAACACTTTCTGTGGTAGTCCCCGTCGAGCAAATTATTCTGAGATCTCTACTCCTGATAGATCAGAAGGGAGAATGAGAGAGTCATCTCCCATAGCAATCCCGTCTTCTGCTTTCGACATGATAGACAAGGTAAGTTGATAGGAAAAGATTTCTATTGAAGGTCCTCTTTAGAAAATAAAATTGGGAGGAACTAGGTCTTGATACGGTGGATTAGTCTGAAAATCCAGTACTGTCAATGAAAATGTTTGGATTGTTATTAGCTACCAACTTTAAGGTTTGTGTTGGGGGACACATTTCAAGATCATCTTTCCTCAAGATGATTATCTTCAGAGGACCCTCTCTAGGATTTTCTTTTTCTGAGTTAATTTGTTCAATGCGAACACACTTTATTTCTTGTGCTAAAATTGATGGCCAATGGTCATTGTGACTGAAATTTTGATTTGTAATTTGCTGTCAGGCGCTAGAATCTTTTGAAAAAGAAAGTGATGAACCAGGTGTTGATAACTGCTACTTGCGAATATTGAGTTTCTTTCTACTTAAATTTTATTCTCATGAATTCTCATGTGGTTATTCCTTATAGCAGATGGTGGATGGTCCGTGAGAGCAAGGTACACAGGAAAAAAGAATTTCTTCTGTGCTAGATTTTTACTTGATTCTTACTGTATTCTGGGATAATTGGTGGCTTTGAAATAAATGTTCTTCAGGGCGGTGGCAAACTATTTATACAACAAGTTTCTCTATCTTAAAGAAAAAAATAGAAAGGAAAGCTTGAATTTGGGCAGCATTTTAGAAGGACAAACAAGAGCTAAATCTGCTAGATTCTTTTATGAAACACTGGTACGGTCTTGACTACTTTATCTTTCTCTTTTGATTTTGTGATAAATGTTCCCTAATAGTGTTGCACATGTTTATTGTATTAATTAAACAAATATTATTGTGGCGAGTCTGGTGACAGAGAGATAATATAATTGCAATACAGTGTGCTGAATTCTTCTAGCGAGTTGCAATGCATAATTTGAACATCATGCAGTATTTCTTGGTTACTCTTAGCAGAGATTTAAACGCCAAATTATTTTGATGCCCCCGTCAATTTTCCTCTGATTTTTTATAGTGTTTCAGATGAAATCTACTACTATTTAACTCACTTGTAGGTTATCTTGACAAGTAACTTTTCCAAACTACCTTTTTTGCTGAAGCTATTATATTTTGCACCTTTTTCCTTTCTCTTGTTTCCTTTCTTTCTTTCTTCTTCTTCTTCTCTCCCCCCTCCTCAAAAAGCCTGCAGGCAGGTCACATTTTAAATTAAAGGTCAACCCCCGGCCACAACATGAATTGTATCTCCTTGGTGTTGAGGCTTGCATGACCACTATTGTCTCAATTGCATGTCTCTCCTTGGTGTTGAGGCTATTCACAGTATCTGCACCGTCTAAACCTATATATCTTCAAGAATTTTCTCACCTGTCTAGTTTAATGTTTTGTTTAGAATTGTTAAATATGTGTTTATCTGAATTGTGACTGAAAATAAACTGATAGGTTTTATATTCACCATCATCTTGGATATCTTATTACGAATGTAGGTTCATTCTTAAGAGACTCAATTATAGGTATTCTTATAATTAAGAGTCTAAATGAATAAGTGAGACAACTGAAGGGAGTCTCTCAATTATGTATAATTATGCTCAGCTTAGCATGATATATTAATCGGCGGATTAAATAACAATTTGAAAGATTTGAGGGACTAGTATCGGAATATGAACGATTTAAGGAACAACAGCTAAAAACCTCAAGTAAGTCGAGAGAAACTAGATTGGATGCAATTGAACTGTGTCGTATGTAATTTTTTTTAACATCTTTTATTCCAGGGACACATTAAACTATATATTTTCATTTCTCGCAGACCTTGAAGGCTAAGGGTTGCATAGATGTTGAGCAAGGTGCACCATATGCTGACATCATTGTATCTGCCACTCCTCAACTTGAATCCCTCTTCAAGAATCAATAGCGGAGACGAGGGAGAAATTTTGGAGACTTTCCTTGTAGATTATAGTGATCTTGTTCATGACCTTATATGTTGTTGGTTGCATCTCTCTCCTTGTTTTATGTTTAATATATTGTGATCAGACTAGAAAACTTTTACAAAGCTAACCAACACAGGTTCCTCTGAGAGCGTCTATCTCTTTTGTCCTTTGTTATCTTAAATTTCCGGTTAGGGTATGTTCTTTTCTCACTCAACTTCGTTCTTCTTTGGGCACATTTTCATTTACGAAGAAATTTTATTTTTATTTATCATTTTCTACCTCTTTTCGCTTAATTATCATTTTCGAACCTGTTTCAGCTACCTGGCTGAAACTGGGTCGACATTGGCAAAAAAGTACAGAAAACTATTCAGGATTGAGAATCCCGTGTAATTTATGATTAAATTAATAACTTCCATAAACTCCACAGAATTCTGAATCCTGAGGACTTCTTTTAATACAAACTCCACGGGATTCAGAATCCCATGAAGATGCCCACAGACTTCGAACTCTCTAGGAAGTTGACCATGCAACTTCATGAGATTCATAATCCCGTTAAGTTGTAGGGTCAGGTTCACATAGAGTTTCAATTTGAACTCTTTGCGGAACCAATCCTACAACTTCACGGGATTCTGAATCTTGTGAACTTGCAGGACACACTCACACACTCATAGTGAGCTTTTCATCTCATTCACAACATGTGTGTATACTAGTATAGTGCACGTGTGTTGCACGTGGACATATTTGTTTTATGCTCTAATACTTTACAAATTTATTATTTAATTAATGAAAGAGTTTCCTTTTGAATGTAATTATAACAACATTTGAGGACTTATTTGTAATTTTTTATAATTTAGATTATATACTTCTTTCAATCTTCTTAAGATTTAAGTTTTGAACTATATAGGGGGTTATCTGTAAAAAATTATGAAGTTTCAGTATTTTTTATAAATATATGAAATTTCAATGGTCTTTGTGAAAATTATGAAGATCCATGGTTGTTTGTGAAAAAATTCAGGGTTATTTTGTGAACATTGGCAAATCATGGAATACCCAAAAGTTATATTTTTTTAATCTTAAAAGACATAGTTCTATTTAATTTATAATTTAAGATAATGAATGACATTTAATAACTACTAGTAGTTTTATGTGCAAATTTAGAATATAGTTTTAACATTAGGGAGGTTATAATATACTTGTTATATAAAAAATATACCCAAAAGACAAAAATTCCAATATTGTTCTTTATTTTTATGTTAAGTGTGTCATGCTATTCCAGTTTATATTAATTATCTTTATTTTTGCTAATCCATTATAACAAATTAAAATTCTCACTTTCACCTTCTCTCTTCTATTATCATATAATTAGTATGACACACTTAAGTACAAAAAATATATTTACTAAGTTCATGGATAATACAATATTTCTCTCAAATCACAATTAAGTACATAGTAATAATTATAGAAATAGAAAAAAAAAAGTTCATTACCCCCCCCTCCCCAACCAAATTAGACCTCAAACTTTAGCCTCAATCCGAATTCTTCACATTTTCTTGTATCAATTGTATCCTCAATCCGCATATAGCTGTCAGTCTAACAGTCACATCAGTATAAAGTATAATCCGAGTAAAGCTCAGTACTTCCTCAACACAAATTCAATTGTCTTCACCTCCCTTTTGTCGTTATCTCTTCTGAAGGGATAATGTTTTCATTAGCGAGCTTGTATCATCCAAATAATATCATAGTAAAGCCATGAGGTGAGTATAGTATGCTGTTAGGGTTGTAAGATGTGAGTGTAAATCTAAATCATCAAATGAGTGAATTTATATAGGTTGCAAGTAAGGGCTATTATGATAAAAAAAACAGGCTTTTTGGATTCCATAACAGTCAAATAAAATTACCATTTAAATAAAAACTACAATTAAAAATGTAACTCTCATTTCAAGTATGCATGAATGCATGCACTAATGGCATTTTAAGTTGACACCTTGTTTGGAAATTGAAACGTCTATTATTAGTTTGTCATATGTGCGTTTTAAGTGGAGGGGTTACAAAATAAAAGTTAATATTAGTGGACAATTAATAGGAGAGTTATGTTATTATTAAGAATGTATGCATGTAAGCATTTTAAGTTGACACTTTGTTTCCAAATTGAAACGTATATTATTAGTTTGTCATATGTGTGTGCATTCAATTCTCAGCTATTATGTCAAATACAACTTACAATCTTAATTTTTTTTATGATAACATTAATATTGGAGTAGTGGAGGGGTTACAAAAAATAGAAGTTAATATTAGTGGACAATTAATAGGAGAGTTATGCCATTATTAAGAATGTATGCATGTATATGTATGTGTTTATATGTATGCAAGTATGTGTTTTATGGATGCATGTATGATTAGTGGAGGGAAAAATCTAACCACATACATGAATTTTTTCAACTGCGTATATAAACGAAATTCTAATGACATACACAAAGTTCCAACCATATATACATGAAAATCTATCTACAGAAGCAACTATTTCGAACAATCCAACCACAATTTAACCATATATATTCACGAGATTCAGAATCACAAAAGAAACATCATATGATATTTTAAAAAAATAACATACATCCTAATAGTCCTCCCCTCCTTCCTCTTTCTCTCTTACCCCTTCCCCTACCTCTTCCTCCCCCCTTCCCCTAACGTTCGTGATCATGAGCGTTGATAATTTGAGTATCTGATTGTGTATGAGGCTGAGAAATGTCGGCTCTATCATTACACGCCGCACTATGAGAAGTGTTGTTCCCATCATCACGTGCCGCACTAGAACCCATCTTACGTTTTCACGTGCACACTTATAAAAATTGGCGTGCCCTATCCTTGCGTCCTTCAAACTCGTCGACGTGATTTCTATGAAATACATTCGCTATTCTCTGTATGATCTTATTGAATACTGATATTACTTTTGAATTTTAAATCTCAACATTCCTCTCATTTATATCTCCTCGAATCTCATTAAATGCATGGATATACAATATAATCAGTATATACATAGCTTAGCCAGTAATATAATTTCAAAAGAGGAATATTCCTTTTAAATGAGTTTAAAAGCTTAGCCAGTAATATAATTTCAAAAGAGGAATATTCCTTTTAAATGAGTTTAAAAACTTACATAATCTTTCTCGATCATAGCTCTAGGGATATAAGTATCTCACGATAGGCGTGATATGAATCCTGTTGAATATCATATCTCCATAATAGTATTTTGATGATAACAATTATATACAAATGCACTAACTTTTATATGCAGATTTTAATATCAAAATATGAATAAGTGCAAGTTGATTTCAATGCATTATGAAGTGAAGAAGATGAAGAACATATGAGATAATGTATTTTATATTTTCTTTACTTAGAATTATTGTACAAGCATTGATCACACATACGCACACACACATTATTAGAACACACTAACACAAGCTTAGTGTGTTGGTTAACTATAGAAATCCCCTATGTTAACCATTAGAATTATAGTTAAAAATTGAATATAAAAACTTTTTAGTTCATGTTTTTTACTCTTAGTAGTCGACTAATTAGAATAGTAGTCGACTACTCGTGTATAAGACTTAAATATATGTTTCTGTAAATTTACAGTATAGTCGACTAATATGGATTATATTCGACTACTTAAGTGTTTGACAGAAACATAAGTTTCTGTTATTTTATAGTATAGTCGACTAATCAACATTATAGTCGACTACTGAAGGCAAAATTCATTTTTCAAGTTTCCGTCAAAATACAGTGTAGTCGACTAATGAGCATTGTAGTCGACTACTGAGAAATTTTCTGGATACATAGAGTCTGTTTAAACTCAGTGTAGTCGACTAATCTGTATTGTAGTCGACTACAGATACAATTTTTCCAGAATTCAAAGTTTGAATTTATGACAGTTTATAGCCATTTTTAAACGTTTTTAAAGTTTAAAAAATTATCTTTTCAAGGGCTATAAATAGGTTATTTGTTCAGAAAAAATGCAGAGATTCACATACCCATAAGCTTTGATCTTTGTGCATTTTTTCATGTGAAAAATATTCAGATTTTGAGAAAAAGAAAAGTTTCTGAAATTGCCTTTGAATCTCATTCAAATACTTATTGTTTAGGCAATTTATAGAAGTGAGAATCATTCATAAGCCACTACTACACTACACTACAAATCAAGGCTTATAGGAATTGAAATTGTTGCTTCAAAAGTTCTCTCAAGTTGTGAGAGGTGTTAATCTCTTGGTTTAGAGATTGGTGTGCAAATTGGTAAGATGTTTGTCAATTGGTGTTGTAATTTGCAGGGACTTGCAAATTGGTCAGGTTTGCTTTTGCTTTTGTAAGTTTATTCAAAATCATAGTGGAAACTCTCAAGCGAGATTTACTTGGGGACTGGATGTACACTGGATTGGTGGAACCAGTATAAAATCTTGTGTTTGTGATTGTGAATTTCTGAGATTGTCATTTTTCTTTGCAATTTATAATCTACTTTGCATAAATTTTAAAAGAATACTATTCACTCTAGTGTTCTAGTGTATCTATTTCAGATCCTATATTTGGTATCAGAGCGAGGTGAAAGATGGCATCTACAAATACATCACAATTCAAAGAAGGTCACTCTACAAATCGTCCACCAATGTTCGATGGATTAAACTACAACTATTGGAAGTGCCGAATGAAGATTTACCTTCAATTAATTAGCTACGAACTTTGGAACGTTGTGGAAACGAAATATGAGAAGCCAACAACTCCATTGACAGAATGGACTACTTCCCAAAGAAATAATGCAAATTTGGATTCAAAAGCAATGAATGCATTATTTTGTGCACTTGACAAGAATGAGTTCAATAGGGTGTCAACGGCCACATCTGCATACGATATTTGGTATACACTTGAGGTAACTCATGAAGGTATAAATAAAGTTAAAGAATCTAAAATTTCTGTTCTTGTGCACATATTTGAATTGTTCAAGATGAAGGAAAATGAGACTATTAGAGAAATGTTCACAAGATTCACCGATATCACAAATTCTCTCATTGGTCTTGAAAAAACATATACACAAGTGGAGATGATAAGAAAAATTTGGAAATTTATAAAACGAGGTAATTTTAAATCTAAGAGTTCAATTT